AGTATATGTGCTTTTTAAAATTTGATGAATCTCTTGATTAGAATTCCTTTAAGGTCAGATAAATAAATATGTCTGTGCAGGTCTGTTGGTTTAAACTGGAGCTCAACTTTTACTTTCTTTGGAAATTGTGGTTTGTGAAATATACGTACATATGGAAATTCTTGAGGGAAAAAGTTCACTTATAGTTTTCCTGCAGACCCAGAAGTGAATCTGGTGGAGAAACGAGCTCAGTCCAAATAACCTACTTGAGACAGAACTCCAGTGGAAAAGGAAAAAATGAACGGCTCTTTCTCAGAGATGGTTGACATTCAAGGATGTTTGCAAAAATCTCTCAGGAGGATAGGGAATGCCTGAACCCTGGCGCAGAGGGCCTCGTGCAGGGACATGATGTTGGAGAACTACAGGAACCTATTCTCACTGGGTGAAGGCAACTTCCCTCCAGATGTGGGAAGCCTTTCTGTTGGATTTGCAATCAAGGAATCATCATCAAGAGAGGACATTAATAAAGGCGAATGATCCATCTAGTGATATTGGAAAGAAATAATAGCTGTGCATCAAGGATTTTGTCCTCAAGAAAGTCTTGGAAAATATGCATGAGTTTGAGAATGAGAGGGGGATATGATGAAAGAAATTATAAGAAGTGCCTTTGACCCACAACAGAAATCTCACTCATAGAAAAGATCAACGATATACTAAATCCTCAATTTTCCTAGAAAAAAAAGTCTGCTTACGACAAATGCCACAGAAGAGAAGCCTGGTATATGGGGACCTGATGACAGGGGGCATTTGACCTGGTCAGGGAGGTTGAGAGCCTCTCAGGAAATGGCCCTTGAGCTCAGATGTGGGGGAGGGACAATCATTGACTTCCCAGGAGGGAAAGGAGAGCAGTCTAGGCCATGGAAAGCATGTGCAAGGACCCTGCCACAGAAGGAAGCACAACGAACACAAGAATCTGAGAGAAGGGCAGGGTGAAGGGCAGTGAGAGAGGGAGGCTGGCCAGGGAGCAGGCAGGGGCTGAGCGAGATCCATGTTAAGGATCTCCTTTATTTTAAAATTAGATTTGCATTTGAGATCACTCTGGCTGCAGTGCACATGGACTGGGGGCGGACAAAGGGGCAGCAGATGGCTGCCTCTCGGATGGCTGTAGGCAGTGGTGGCTTGCACCAGGATAGGATGGAGGAAGAGAAGTGAACTGCTTTGAGAGTCGTGTGGGGCAGTTAAATTGTCTTGGTAATGGAGTAGATATGGGGTGAAAGAAGTGTCAGGGTGAAATTCAGATTCCTGGCTTATGCAATGAGATGGATGGTAGTGGGATTCTTTGAGATGAGGAGCTTATTTATTCACTCAACATTTGTTAGGTAACTACTGGATCAGACACTGAACTAGGATCTTTGATAAAAACAAGGTTTAGAACAGTCACGCATCACTTAAGCACAGGGATACATGCTGAGAAATGGGTCGTTAGGTGATTTCTTTGTTGTGGGAACATCACAGAGTACACTTACACAAACCTAGATGGTCTAGCCAGCTACACGCCTAGGCTCTGTGGTGTAGCACGGTGCTCCTAGGTGACAAACATGTACAGCATGTTACTGTACTGAATGCTAATGGGCAACTATAACACAATGGTATTTGTGTATCTAAACACAGAAAAGGTACAATAAGTATGAAAGATATGCATAGGACACTTACCATGAATGGAGCTTGCGGGACTGGAAGTTGCTCTGGGTGAGTGGTGAGGGAATGCGAAGGCCTAAGACATCACTGTGCACTACTGCAGACTTTATAAACACTGCACGCTTAGGCTACATTAAATTTATTTTTAAAATCTTTTCTTCAATAACAAATTAACCTTAGCTTACTATAACTTTAACTTTATAGACTTTAATTTTTTTGACTTTTTTTGTAATAACACTTAGCTTAAAACACATTGCACAGCTCTACAAAAATATTTTCTTTCTTTATATCCTTATTCTATTGACGGTGGAGAGCTCGACAAGGTGGGAGTCCAGAGGAACCCCAACCTGGAGCTCCAGTGACCAGGGTCTTGTCTTATGCCACGAGGAAGAATTCAAGGACACGACAAGCAGCAAACAGGAAAGCACAAGTTTTATTATAGTGAAAGTACACACTTTAGAGAAAAGTGCCGGCAAACTCTAAGAGGGAGTCTGCCTCAGCGGTCTGAAGGGACTTTTGTTTTCTGAGAGGTGGGGGTGTCCCAAGGCTATCCATCCTGCCTCCTGGCCTTGGCTTGTTTATCACACCTGAGTCTCAGTTTACCACAGCTGAGTCTCCTGCTTGGAAAGGCAACAGGGAGAGGGCTGAATAAAGAACAAGGGAGAAATTCCTGAGCGCAGGGAGAGGGCTGAGTAAGGAACTAAGGAAAAATTCCAGAGCTGTATCCTGGAGGGGAGAGGGAACTATCTTGCCTCATTATAAGCTTTTTTCCATTTTTAAATCTTATTTTTTACTTTTTAAACTTTGTTAAAAACTACAACACAAACACACACATTCACCTAAGCCTACACAGGGTCAGAATCATCAGCACTGCTGTCTTCCATCTGTACATTTCATCCCATGGGAAGGTTTTCAGGGGCAATAACAGGCATGGAACCTTCATCTCCTACAATGCCCTCTCTGCAATACTTCCTGAAGGACCTGCCTGAGGCTCTTACTGGGGAGCTGCACTAGGTTCAGAAAGCGCTGACTTTGGCTTTACCTGGACTACATCACTAGGCCACAGAATATTTTCAGCTCCGTTATAATCTCATGGGCCACTATCGTATATGCAGTCTGTCCTTGACCATGACATCGTTATGCAGAGCATGACAGTTTGGACCTTACAGGCTAGTAGGGGATAAAGACATAGACCAGTGAGTGTAAGACTATACTGAGCTAGACCCCTGTTCTGGGCTGAAGTGGGACAAGAGGATGTGCCTTGATGAAGGAAGGGAATGGCTGGGTTGGGGAAATGGGAAGCTATAGAAAAAAGGCCAAATAGTATCCTGCTACTCAGTATGGTCAGCAGTATCGCAACATGGGAGCTCATTAGAAACGCAGCACCTCAGGTCCCATCCCACAATTGCTGGTCCACATCTGCAAGCTCCCCAGCTGATTTGTGTGCACATCAAGTGAGACATGCTGGCCTCATTAAGAATTATGATTATGAGTCATGTGTCAGGCTACCTGGTTTTACATCTGGCTCTGCATTCATTCAGTGGCTATGTGATCTGTGGCAGGTTAATCAATCTTTCTAAGCTTCTGTTTCTCTTCTATAAATTTGAAGTATTGTAGTCTCCCCTTGAAATCTCCCCAGAAGATGCCTGAAACTGGATGGCACCGAACCCTATATGTTGTCTTTCCTATACATACTATAAAGCTTAATTTATAAATTAGGAAGAGATTCACAAATAAGAAAAATAGGACAATTATAACAATATAGTCATGCACCACATGCCTTTTGATTGCATCATTTTCTTTTGTGGCTGATTTAATCTCATGTTGTTTTGTAGTGACAAGCTGTATAGGCTGTAGCCTAGGAGCAGTATGCTGGACCACACAGCCTAGGTGTGTAGTTGGCTAGACCCACTAGGTTTGCTTAAGTACACCCTCTGATGTTCCCATGAAGACAAAATCACCTAACTATGAATTCCTCAGAATGTTTTCCTGTCATTAGACGGCATGTGACTGTACTATAATAAAAATTGTGTGAATGTGGTATCTCTCTCAAAACGTTTTATTGTACTGTACTCATCCTTCTTGTGATGTGAGATACAATGTCTTAGTGATGAGATAAAGTGATAAGATAAACAGCACACAATTAAAAATTTGTGAATTGTTTATTTCTGGAATTTTCCAATTAATATATTCAGACCGTGGTTGGCTGCGGGTAACTGAAACTGCAGAAAGCGAAACTGCGGATAAGGGGGTATGACTGTAATAACAAAAACTACCACATAGGATTGCTGAGGATGAATGAGATTATGAAAAGTGCCAAGCTTGGTATGTGGCACTGAGAAAGGGCTCACTATGGTTTTGAAGGTTTCTAATCAGGAGTTTTAGAAAGATCACCTCACAAGTGATCAATCTCTTTGATCAAAAAGATGAATAATCTGTCTCATCACAGAAGAAATGCAAATTCTTTTACAATAAGCAGTCTTTCCCATATCACCCCTAGATTGCTGAGGAAGATAAGAGGGAACTGGAACCCTCTAGCACTTGCTAGTAGGTCCTGGCACTTTGCTCAGCGATCTGGCAGTACTCAAAAACTGGGTAGGTGCATATTCAATGACCAGTGATTCCATCCCTGGATATACATTTGAGATGGGTTCCCAATGAGGATCACTACAATAGTGCTTGCAATACCAACATCCTGGGGCTAGAACTGGGTTTGGTTACAAGGGACAGAAATCCTCGAATAGCAGTGATTTAAAACAAGACAGAAGTTCCCCTTTTCTATGAAAGCCCGGAGGTCTGCAGCATCGGACTGTTAAGAGGCCACATGGAGGTTAATGCTCAGACTCTCTCTCCCTGTCCTTTGCGTGGCTTCCATCCCCAAGGTCACTTCACGTCAGCAAGGCTGTTCCATTTGCAATCAGCAGCAGGAAGAAAGCAAAGGAAAGGGGCACACACTGTCCACTTATGGTCACATCCTGGAAGTTGTACCCCTCCTCCCCATATACCCCATAAGCCTGAACTGGCACTTGGCCACACCTGGCTAGGAAGTAGTCTTTATTCTGAAGTTTCTGTGCTTTGCTAAGAAACAGGAGTTCTGTTACCCTGAAAGGAAGAAGAATGGATGTGAGGGGACAACTAATGGTCTTAGTTACAGCAGCTGTAGTAGGAGTCCCATGAGGGCCACAAAGACAGAAATCTTCAAGTACATGCAAGCTAAACGTAGTCTCATTTACTCTGTTGATACTGAATACAAAATTTTAATGTGTTCGACCTTATTAATAGACATAAAAGATTGAAAAAAATGAGAGCTATACCATATCATGTATTATTTAAATGTTATAAAGGTTTATTTCTGTTGTTTTTCCCACATCGTAAGTTCAAAGGAATGCCACATTCCAACAAAAAAAGTGTTTATGATACACTTTTGCCAAAATTACACCCCATATAGTGGGAAATTAATGGCTCTATTAGTAGACAGTGCTAGCTCATTATATGGTGAAAATAAAACTTGGATTTCATATATGAATGTGAATTTCAAATAGTTTGAAAGTAGTAGTGAATATTTAGCAGCCAGTATAGCCTATTATCAGCCAGTGAGAACAAATGTCTGACCATCCAGAGCAGATGCCAGCCATTGCAGGTACCAGCATGCACTAGCTGGACTTCAGCCCTATTTAGTGGCCTAAATGTGAAAGGAAAAGCAAATTAGCTAACAAAAGAAAATATAAAATATCTTAAACATTTTTAAATAAGAAATCAAAAAAGAATAAATGATATGATAAAATAGTTAATTCACTTACATTATAATTAAAATTTTCTGTTCATTCCTTTAACCCATATAAATTTGTACTGTTTGACTTACGTGTGCCCAGTTCCCCCAAATGAGCAAAATAAAAATTTTAACATGTAAAAAAAAAAATTCTGTTCAGTAAAGGACACCCTTGGATAAACAAACTCCAGTGCCATTCTGAGCTTTTTGTAACTGCCCAGGAATATGTGAGTAACTCTGGAGAATAAATAGAGACAGGAAGCCCCTATAAGAAATTGAGCAAAGATAAATTAGCGGTTCGCAGAAAAGAAAAACCAGAAAGGCTGACAGATATGTGAAGAAATTCCCCAAATTCCTAGTGATCGGATGAATGTACATTAAAACACAGTGACACTTTATGCCTATCAGACTGGCAAAAATTAGAAATTGGGCAATAAAAATGATGGTGAGGATTAAGAGCAATGGGAAGCTTCCAGTAAAAGGGTCAGTGACCATCTAAAGAAAAATTTGGTAGAACCATAGAGAAATTAAACAGTCTAACCTGTAATCTCATCCTGGACACCTATGCCAGAGAACTTTACACACGATCATGGAAGGGGACACATAACAGGATGTTCACTGTGGCCCTGTCTACATGCCAAGGGGCTGGAAACACCTAGGGGTCCACCACTTAGCAAATGCATAAGTAACATGCAGCTGACATCCCAGAGCAATTCAAAGCAACAAAGCAGATATAAAACAAGCAACACATATTGAGTGAAAAAAGCAGCAGCACATCTATAGCATAACATCACATATTTAAAAAAAGGTATTCATACATACAATGCTGCATTTTACAAGGATGCATTCATAGTCAAAGACATGCAATTAGCACCCTAGAATGAATGCTTATGGGAGAAGATGGTGTGAAAAAAGGGGGGAAAGCTATAAAAACCAGAGAAGTCTTTTATTGACTAAAATCTTAGATCCAAAAAGGCTCAATGTTTTCAATTATGCCTTAAATAATGTGTATGTATCAGGAAGGGGGCTATAAAGGATCCTGGGGTGAGTTAGACATCCAAGGCTGAGAACCCGCTGTATCTTTCAAAAAAGTAACCCACTGTCTGTGTTTAAGTTCATGTATGTGTGAGCTTGATCATTTATTTTCCTGCAAGCCAAGGAACCACACCTGTGTATGTGCCTCAAGCAAACTACACCACCTATCCCCAAATGACACGAAGGTCACTGCTGGTCCTAGATGTGGAGTAAATCCCAGGCCTGGAATCCCATACTCAACCCTAATTCATTTCAACTCCCTGTTTAAATATAAGCAGTGTCATAAAATAGACATTTTGGTGAACAAAAGGGTGATGGTGGAAGTGAAAGGGTATGAGTGAGAAGTATCCCAGGAGATTGCAAAACTCAGCACACCATATGAATGGAGCCACAGTCTACCTAGGGCAGCAGTGGCGACCACAAAACTAACCAGGTAACTAACGATTTGAAACCAGGGTCAACAGGAGAAGAGGTCAAATATCATACCTTAATTTTTGCTTCGGCTTAAAAATAAGTTCTACCTCAGCTTCAGCTAGCCCTTATGGGGCCAAAAGGGGGCAGTCATTCTCCCCAAGTCCAGGCTGGGCCTCCAAACAGGGAGTGGGTTTTCAACCCCAGACCTCAATGAGGTCCCCAGATTCCATGCCCAGATCAGCAGGCAGCTCCTTGCCTGATAGCTTTGTCCCATCAAAGAAGAAGGAGAGATTGTGGCCCGAGAGTCCCATGGCCTCCTCGTAGCGGGACATGAGGGTCTTGAGAGGACAATCCTGGATAGGCAAGAAAAAATGGATATAAGAATTTGAAAAGAGAGATTAGCGAGAACTTGTAGGGACAGACAAAGGACCTGGGACAGGGAAGACAAGGGGACAAGTAAAGGCAGTGCCCATGGAGGAGAAGGCAAATGGACAAAGAAGCAAGCACAGTGGGTTCCTCTCTAGGGAACCAGGCCACAGAGCCCAAGGCTTAGGCTCTGGGTCAGGCAGGTTCTCCAAGACCCAGGCCCCACACCTACCAGTGGAGGCGTATATTGCAATGACGAGGAGAGCCCAGACTCTGGAATGAGAATGACCCAAGTGGAGACCAGGCTCAGCCACTTAACTGGATGTGTGACCTTAGGCAAGTGTTATGGGTTGAACAATGTCTCCCCCCCCAAAAAAAAGGTATCTTGTGGTCCTAACCCCTGATAAACATGAATGTGACCTTATGTGGAAGTAGGGCTTTGCGAATGCAATTAGTTAATACAAGGTCATACTGGATTAGGGTGGCACTAATGACTGGTGTCCTTGTAAGAGAAAATGGAGACACGCAGGGAGAAAGCCATGTGACAAAAGAGGCAGAGGTTGGAGTAATGCAGCTACAAGACAAGGCTTGACAGCCATCACCACCAGAAGCTAGAAGGAAGGATTCTATCCAGTCTCAGAGGGAGCACGACCCTGCTGACGCCCTGATTACAGACTTCTAACTTCCAGAACTGTAAGAGAACACATTTCTGTAGGTTTGAGCCACCCAGTTTGTGTTACTTCATTACAGCGGCCCTAGGACACTATGAAGTTATCCCACCTCTCTAGACCTCGGTCTCCTCATCTGTTAAATGAGAGTAACGATGGTGCTTTCTCATATAAGATTGTTGTGAAATTCAGTAATATCCGAAATGTGAAGTAAGTATCCTTAGAACAGGGACTGCCACTTAACAAGTGTGGCTTTAATTGTTATTTTGGTGGGGTTTAGTGGTTACTGTCCAAGGGTCCTTTCCATTTTAACCGGAAGGAGTTAGGAGACTAGAGCAGAGGTTTCCAGAAGAGGGGAGGGACACTGAATGGGTTTTTCCACTATCTAGGACTATCCAGGAACTCGAGACTAGGGAAGGCAGTGTCTCCAGAGAATCAGGGCTAGGAGGAATTCATCTTCAATTAAATGACAAGAAAGACAGCAGAGAAAAGGGTGAGATGCGTGGAGAGCCATCTTTCCTACTCACTCGAGACAGTGAGACTTCCAGCGTCTGGTGTTTCTCCTTGCCCTGTACCCGCAGCTGGAGCAGATGGGATGTCTCTGTGGCCTCTGGAGAACTTGCTAGCACCACACAGTCTGTAGGAGGCAGGATCAGGAATCCAGGCCTAAGCAGCGGCTGGAAGCAGGGCCCTACATGGGACTTTCCCCTTATCCCCTCCCTGTGGCAAAAGTCTCCTCAAGGATCCACCTCCCTGCCTTCCTCTCACCAATGATGTCAGCCACTCCAAGCTTTAAGGTTCTGGGAGTGGCGGTAGGGGACAGCTCTGTCTCTCCAAAGAGCAAGAGGATCCTGCTTGGGGACACCCCGAGATGAGCAGCCATGTGGTCCACCACACTCTGTAGGGGCTCCGACTGGGGAGGAAGACAAGAAGCAAAGGAGGTCTTCCTGCCTTGATGTGCTCCATCCCACCCAACCTCCCTTCCACCCCAACACAAGCTTCTGGCCTTTGCTACTCACTGAGCTACTCAGCTGTCACATTTCATCACATTTGCCTAACAAAGTATAGAATAAAATCATGTTGATAAAGGGTTCAGGCAAGCAACATAAAGAAATGAAGCGACCATGGATTAGGAGGAAAAAAAAGGAGTGGTGGGGACTGCAGCAAAGTGGACCTCACACGCTGCATCTAAACAGGCGAGCTGTTTTGAGCGGGAAGAGCACCAGCTGACTGGTACCAGGTGGGAATACAGCCAATGGGACTACAACTTCCTATTTAAGAGAAGCCAGACATCTGGACCTTTGTATGAACTCATCCAAGGCAAAGGTTGACAATAAACTCACATGTTTTAAAAGCACTCTACAGGGCCAAAAAAGAAGGTGCACTGTTGATAGGTCCATGGGCTGTCAGTTTGCAACCTCTGGCTTAGTTGCCTGCTCGATGCATGGTTATGGCTCAATAAATGGTCATTTCTGTTATCATTCTTGTTTTTGAATGGAGTCATCCCTACCAAAATAGTAATCTTCACCAGGAAGCTGGGGGAGTGCAGAATGACTGAGTGACATCTGTGTGTCGAATGCAGAAAGAGTATTATGCATATTAAGAGCATTAAATAAGAGGGAAGCACAGGATCAAAGGGAAGGAAAGAGGGAGGGGGCAGCACCCTGGGGAGGGGGTCAGCAAGCAAAGCTTCTTAGGATGCTTAAGTGGAGCCTGAAAGAATGGTGAGAAATTTGCCAGAAAGTGAGGGGAGACTGAGAAAAAGATAATCTGGACAGCGGGAACAGGGAGTGCAAAGGCATGGAGGCCTGAATGAGTGCTGGGCAGATCCAGAGGGCAGGATGGGCAACAGAAGACAGAGTCAGATCATGGGGGTATAGCTCAGGGATAGAGCATTTGACTGCAGAAGACAGAGTCCTTTCTCCCAGACGTCAGTCTCTCCACAGGTATCTTCTGGGACCCTTCTCTCACAGGCCCTTCAGGCACTTACCATTCTGATGGGCAATCTGACCAGGTCAGCACGGCACCGGATTTTGAGCGGAAAGAGTCGGGGGCTCTCTGGGAGAATGGGCCCCTCCACAAGGACCACCTCATCATCTTGGCTCAGATGGTCCTGTCCCTGGTGCTGCTTGGGACTCAGGCAGGAACGGAGATCCTGGAGGCGCTTGTTCACCTCCCTTGGGTGCAGAAAGGACTTTGGGTCAGCTAGGGTGAGCCACCCTCCATACTGCCCCTCTCCATCCCAGCCAGAGCCTCCTACCCTCGGCACCTTAACTTCTGGAGTGCCCGAGTATGTTTTCTGCTTTTTGTCCTTGGCAGAGGTGGGGGCAAAGGAGAGGTATCCAGATCCCTGAAGAAAGAAGAAAGGGACAAGATGGAGGAAGAGGAGACAGCCCAGCCCACATCCCTCCTCATGATCTATGGACCCCTGGGAACAGAGGAGAAGTTGGAGAATCAAGAAGGAACACTTTCCAGTAACATCTACCTTACTGGAAAACAAAGGGAAGAAAATGCCTTTTCAAGTAAGTTACTTCCTAGGTGAGTGTCTGCCAACATCTAACAGACACCAAGCATTTACCATATGTCAGGTGTTAACTCTTGATCTATTCAAAAATTCTGACACAGGTACCACTATCATCCCCATTTTACAGAAGACGAAAGCGAAGCATACAGACAACAGTTAAGAGGCAGCTAGCCAGATGTGAACCACAAGGGCAGTCTGGCAGTCTCCAGAGCCACATTATTACCATGTCACCCTGTATTACTACCATCTCACTCCACTCCCATCCTGCAGGGTCCGCTGTCATCCTTTCGTGTGGGCCACCTCTTCTCCCAAGAGCTTCACTACTCACCTAAGCCTCAAGACTCCTTTCACCCCTTCTTATCCTTTCACGAACCACTCAAGGGTCCTGCCTGCCTCAGACTACTCCTCCAATTCCTTTTCTGCCCCTAGGGCTTCCGTGCCCCGGCCTTACTCACAGAGACATCTGCTTTTCTTTTTCTTCTTCTTCATCTTTACTCCTCAGCTTTTTCTTCCAGGGAGAATCTGGACATGGGGATTCCTCAGTGTGGGGACTGCTAGAATCTGCCACATCCCCCTCTGGGGACAGAGGAGAAGACAGTGGAAAGGGTTAACCAAGAGAAGGCAGCAGGAGGCCGAGGAGACACAAGTCACAGGGTACAGAAGGTCCTCAGAAAGGAGGAGATTGCTGTGGGGCACCCCAGACACACATCATGATACTGGGAAAGTGCTCAAGGTGCAAGAGTCAAAAAGGAAATGCCTAACTCAGAGAAAAGCATGAGCTGGAATCTGAGAGATTGGCGCAGGAGTGTCTGAGCCTCGTGCTAAGGTATGAGACAGTGTGGCAAGTGTGGACAATTGGAAAGTGGCCCACTCCAACCTTTTTGATCACATGTACCCACAAATATAAAATACCAGTCTACAGCCATGCTACCCTGAACAAGCCCGATCCCATCTGATCTCGGAAGCTAAGCAGGGTCGGGCCTGGTTAGTGCTTGGATGGGAGACCACCTAAGAAGACCAGGTGCTGTAGGCTTCAAAAATTAAAAAAAATAAGGGATTGTAAGCTGACAAGGTCCTTGCAATCTGTGAGGTCAACCAAGGGTTGCTTCACCTAAAAAATTAAAAAAATAAAATAAGATAAATAAAAACTAAAGTATTTAAAATATTTATAAAATATTAAATATACAACTCAGAAAATACATATTTACTTAATACTATTAATACTATGATTATAACACTATTAGTAATATTATGTACTATTATACGTGTACATACTATTACATATATTATAAACCAAGCATTAAAACAGATGTTGTCAAAGTATAATTTTTAAAAAAATGTTTCTATATTTTCTTCCTGTCCTCAATTTGGTGGGTATAGAGAGACTACGTGAGTCAAGCTTTGGGATAGGGAGGAATGAGGTAAAGCGATAAGTAGTATAGACCTTCTAACCCCATGTTTCTCAAATTTCATCCAAGAGTGTCATTATCACATTTCACTAAATCTCTGCATTATTTGTTTAATATCTTTCTTTAAATAATTTATTTTAACTTAAATTCCTTATAAAAGGAAACTAGTTATTTCTTTCCTTTTTATTGAGGTATAATTGACATATAACATATTAGTTTCAGGTGTACAACATAATGATTTGATATTTGTATACATTGTAAAATGATGAGAAACCGGGTATTATTCTAGAATATAGACACTCTTTTCTATTTACTTGCCACCAATAAAAGATCATTGTTAACCATAAAAATAAATACTATGAAAACAAAACAATGACGATAAATCCTGGGTCAGTGGTTCTCAATCAGAGGCAATTTTGCCTCCTAGGGGACATGTGGCAATATCTGGAGAATACTTTGGTTGTTACAAGTGGGGGAAGGGTTTAGGCTGTGATACTGGCATCTAGTGCATAAGGGTCAGGATGCTGCTAAACAGTGCACAGAACAGCCCACAACAAAGAATTATCCAGTCCAAATGTCGATAGTGCTGAGGTTGAGAAACTTTGTCCTGGCTAAATACGGCAACTGCCAGTGGCCCGAGCTTCTGCATTTCTAACAAGCTTCCAGCAAATGCGTAACACTTCTGGGCCCATATTTTGAGAGGCAAGGACAGAGGTATACTTTATATAGTATTTCCACATGCCTTGTACTATCCTAAACTATACATGTAGCCCAAAAGAGGGCTATATTCTCTTTTAATTAATTCTCACTAAAATCCTTTGACATAGGTCCACAATTATATCCATTTTCCTGATAAGGAAATTGAAGCTTTGAGAAATTAACTTGTCCAAGGTCACAGAGGCCAGTTGGTCCTTAAATCAGCTCTTCGTCACCCTATCATACTCCCTCATGGTACAGAAGTCTTGGTCCAAGGTCTGCATTTATCTACTAGGTCACTTCCTTATTAGACTCGATTCCTAGTCATTGCCCTTGGGTGCGTTGCAAAAATCACATCACTGAGGGAGGACAAAGGCTGGGCAGCCCTGATAAGACTCAAAGGACACACTGGTAGTTGCAGAGTGTACCCAAGGAACTTGTTGCAGACGTAACAAGATGTTACAGATTTTCAACACCTCCTCCTCCACTGTCCCCAGGATTACAGAATCAGAATCTCCAGGGATGGTACCCTGAAATCTGTATATTAGCACACGCATGTCTATTCGAGTTGGGGGAAGGGTGGTTTGACCACACTTCCTGTGCCTTCTGATTAATAAACAGGCTCCTTTTAGGACTGGACCTTTTTTCTGGCTAAGACTCAAGAGTCACCTCTCATGCCTTTCCCTTAACTTCAGGCAACAACTAAGTACAGGGATGTAAACTCCCTCAGAGAGACTAGTGTTGGGCAGCTCTTCCCTGAGGCCCTCCCTTACCTTCCTCAGCCCCTGGGGGACAGAGTTTCAGGAGGGGCAGGTGATCTGGGATGAGGTGGAGGCTGCTCTTCACCTGCAAATACAAAAGTGCATCAGCCCCGAGTCCTCCTTCCACTGAAAAGGAAAACGGGATGCTTCTTCCCTCACACCTAGGACTCCTCCAGCTTCCAAATTCTCCCTAAGGATGTAGACACCACAGCCTTCTCCAGGGACTCAGGAGACCAGCTTCCTCAAGATCCAAAACTGTAGTGCCCTTACTCCTACACTCCCTTTGCTTAAGGCATGCAGGTTTAGTTCTTTTTTTACTAGGTTGCTAGCCATCCCACTATCTTAGAATCTTAGGGAATCCCAGCCCCCTAGCTCACCCTACCACCTGGAGACACAAGCCTCCTGGAACCCCCACTCCTCTCTGAACTTCTATAAACTCCAGCCCCAATACCCTACCTAGCTTCCTGGATCCTTAGCCATGAGCCTCAACCTCAAAACCCAACATGACCCAAATCCCAGTCCAATCCTTCCATCCCCTCACTGAACTCTCAGGGATGCCAGCTCCGTAGCCTCTCTATGCCCCCTGCGAGAATCCCAAACTCCCAACACACTTCGAACCCCCTCATTCCATCAGTCTGCAGAAACCTCAAGAATCCTGCATCTCTCTGCCTCCAAGGCCCTAGCTCCTACTTCCATTTAGACCCCCAAGACCAACCCCAGAACCCTACCCTCAGCACTCCATAAACCCAGCCCTTCCACGCCAGCCCTCCCGGGAACCAGGCTACACCTTCCCGGAGTACACTGGAACCACCGGCGCCTCCCCCGGATCCAGCAGCAGCCGCCGCCGCCGCCTGACCAGGACCGGAGCGGCTCCAGCCTGCCGCGCGTCCTCCCCTTCGCTGTCACTGTCGCTGTCGTCCTGGGGCGCGGCTGGCACGGGGGTCTCCGGGAGCGGGACTTCTACCGGGTCCACAGCGCCGCGCGCCGTTGCGACCTCCAGAATATCCTCATCATTGTCGCTGACCAAGTCCACAATTACCGAGTCCAGGGAGCTCCGGGCTGGGGACCGCTGGGCGCGAGGACGCCGGCCTCGCCCGCCCCGGGCCCCCCGAGCCCCCCGAGCCCCTCGGCCGACACCGCCGCCTCGGGCCCTCCGACCCCGTTTCCTCACAGGTTCCGACATGGCACACACCCGACCGCTAGTCGCCCGCCTCTAGTCGACTCGCCCGGCCCACTCCCGCGACTTCCGCCCTTCATTGGGCGAACCGCCTGCTAGTCAACACTTCTACCCGCCCATACCCCATGGATCCGCCTCCCTGAGTTTTCACTGGCCGTTTCTCCCGCCCATCACACACCCACCACTGAGACCAAGGCGCCAAAGATTCCAACGAGCCTCCGCGCAATCAGCGTAGGTTTTAATTCGGCCGGGCTCACCCATTGGCCGGGCTGCCGCGCTTCCAGCCCAGCTTTCCCTCAGCCCCGCCCACAGGAGAGATCCGTTTTCCCGGTTATTGGAGCATTCTGGGAATTGTAGTCCTCAAACTCTCTGACTACAGGGATGAGGAAAACGAACTGGGGATTGTTTTTTAAAATCGACGAATTAGGCTTCAGACTTCACGGATATCTCTATTATTGTTTCCTCCAACCGCGTTCTGAGCTAATTCCACGCCACGCCACCTACTCTCGCAAACGCCCCTCTCGTGCATAATCCACACAGTACGCACCCTGTACCAACAATTTAATACCACTCAAGTCTACGAATTGCCTCCAACAGCATACAAAGCCTCCCTCATACCAGACGTCCCGAAAGACATCTTTCACAAATGTCAAAACAGCATACACCCACACAACGCCCTCCCATTACATACACCTGGAAAAACATACAAATGAAAAATAAGAGTTTTAATTCTCCCTGTTGAAAATAAGGGACATGACTTTACCCCACTCTTTTTCTTTCAGAATTTCTCGGGCCTTTTCAAATGTATGTATATCTTTATAATAGCTAAATAAGCATCTTGCCAGTCGCATAACTCAGGAACTCCAGGACTGGGAGCCAGCCACCTTTTTGAAATGCAAACATCAAGGGAGATAGCTCCCCATCCCCCAGTTCCTGGAGGAGAATAACTTCCTAACTTTGGTGGAGTCCTTGCTGCAATTCACAAAACTACCTCCTGACATGAGAGGTTTGTTTCTCTCCCTCTCCCTCCAAGGTGGGAAGCTGAGAAGCTCTGGAGTGTGGTTTCCTCCTGGGTAGAAACCTGCGAATGGTCTTGGTGCCCTCTGGTCCCTGGCACACAGTAGGCCCTTAATAAATACCAAATAATAATAATAATAATAGTTAATGTTTGACTGCTTACTATGCCACTGTCATGTGCATTATATCCCATTTAAGATTCATTTGGGTAGCTTTAATGATTATCCTTATTTTACAGACCAGGAAACTACAGCAGAGAAAGCTTGAGTCAAGCAGCTAGCAAGGGAATTCAAACTCAGTCCGATTCCAGAACACTGGGCTGCAGTGGGCGTACCTCTGTTCCTCAGCTTCCCCAGAGACTTCCCTGGGGTGGCAGAGCCCTCAGGAGTGTCTCCATCCTTTGCACACCTGAATCTCAGGACTTTCCACAGACGTTCATTCACTCTTCCTTCCCTATTTATTTCCTGAGCTCCTGATCTTTGCCATGCTCTGGCTGGTTACCAGAGGCACAAAGAAGACCCAGACATGGATTCATCCTCAAGAAGGCAGGGTGTTTTCACCAGGGGTCACATGCTCATATGCTTAAGGAACAAGCAGGAAACCTATACAAATGAAGCAGACTGGATGAAAGGTAATAGGAAATGGCGGAGATTATGGCAATAGGAAGAGCTTATTTTAGCTTTACGGTAAGGTAAGGGTGTGAATGCTAAGCTCGACCTGGGATTTTAATTTTTTAATTTTTAATTTTTTGCCATGAGGACTGCGTTCAAGATAGAAGCCCAAGGAAATGCTAGAAGTTCATATCTCACCACCCACACTCCAAACACACGTTATACGAAAATATAACAAGGAATACTGCTTTCTTGCTTTCTTTCTTTTTAAAGATAGTTGAGCTCAAAAGCAAGACAGAATCTTCCCCATGCAAAAAATAAAGAAGGAAATCAAATCCACAACAGTGGGAGAGGGCTGTAGTCAAGCAGGCCATGGGGGGATGCTAAGATCCCTAGGATTGGAGTTTTACACCTATGTGGGAACAGAAGTCAAGGCGGAGGCCATGGGAACAGCAGAGAGCTGAAACTGGGTGCACTGCACAAAACTAGGAGCTAAGAAAGGGCTGCCTCTTCTGGACACAGAAGACAGAGAAAAAATCCATCCACAGGCCCTGGGCTACAGCATAGAAGCAAGGCACTCAACAGGCAGTGGATGGAAAAAGTCGTAGCAGGAAATCAGAATCCCAAGGACAGTCTATGGCCATACCACCCTGAATGGCAGGATCTTGTCAGATCTTGGAAGCTAAGCAGGGTCGGGCCTGGTTAGTACTTGGATGGGAGACTCCCAAGGACTACCAAATTATGAACTTGGATTCAGACCAAACCTCAGGTGCAAAAATCTGCTCTGAGAAACTCATGAGTAAAATGGTCAAACCTGTGTAGCCTGTAAGACTGTGGCAGAAGCCAAAGTAAACTGGCCCCCCAGGGGGTGGCAAGGGATCCCAGGGAACTCGTGGGACTCATGCAGGCAGGAAAAAAACAAAGAAGTCAAAGAAACCTTCCATGGTGACATGCCATGGGAGAATTCACCCCATTGTACAAATAGTAACTATACCAGGTCCCTTCCTTAATGCTACAGTTGGGGAAACTGAGAGTCATTGAGTGTAAGTATGTTGCCTACAGTTAGTTAACGATTGAAGTATTTAATTCCTCTGTGTCAGTCTTCTCATCTATAAGATGATAATAATTTTAGTGTACTTTCTTCATAGGGCTGTTAGAAAGGTAAAATGAGATGCTACTTGTAAAGCACTTATTAGAACAATGCCTGGCACATAATAATAGTGTTAAAACAAATAAAGTAAGTTTTAAAGGTTCAGAGATAAAGGATAACGTCTCTAAAATAAAAACAGGACATTAGGAAGAAGGAACTGGTTCATTAAGAAACGGAATTCTAGAAATAAAAAGAGATACTGAAAAAATCTAGTCAGTCTTGCAGAGACATTGACACTTCTTAAGCAGAAGAGAGACTGGGTTTCAGATGCCAGTCCTGGGTTTCAGAAGAGCATTGAAGCTAGGGAGACTGGTCGCAGGGAGACTAGGCAGAAGACATCAGGAATAACAGTGACTGATTTTTTTGTTTTTTACCTGAGACAAGAATTTGGGTATGGTGGAGCTTGCTATATAATCGTTTCAGAGCCTGGAGATTTTTAGTTCAAAAAGTCTTCGTGTTCATGGTTTATATCAGAAGTAGGCAGTTGATAAGTGAGTAGGCACAGTGCCTTGAACTGCAGCCAGACTTCTGAATTCAGATCCAGCTCTGTGAAATGCTAGTTGTGTGACCTTAGACATGTTACTTGGCCTCTCTGACACTTGGTTTCCCGTCTGCAGAATTGCACCTAGGAAGGGAGAGTGTCAAGATTAAGTATAGGCTCTAGAATTAGACTGCCAGAATTCAAGACTGGGCCCCAGCACTTATTAACTAGGCCAGACTTGAGCAGGTTATTTAGTTTCTGTGCCTCGGTCTCATCTATAAAATAGAGGTGTTGTGAAGATAAAATGAGCTAATATACATAACACATATATACATAACAAATGTAAAATACATAAAATGTACATAAAATACTTTGATACAATCCTGGCACATAAGTGCTCAATAACCTTGTCAGGTTATTGTAAAGATCAAATGAGTTAACTGATGTTAGAACATAGTAGATGTTCAACAAATGTCAGTGATGACTGCCAATTCCTGGATTGCTTCTTCACTGGGCACCCAGCATACAACTGCTAAATGAACAATGACTGAACAACTGGATGGTGGGAATGGCAGGCAAGTGGGGAGATGGGCGCAGGCCAAGCCACAGGAGGGAAAAGGCCCTGTTGTACCTGGGATGCAGGTCTCCCTCCTCCCCGGATTCGAGAGAGGATGGGAGTACACCCAGCCTCACCTTCCCTTCCTCTCCCACACAAGGGCACTACATTGCAAGATTGGAAGAGCTCATGGAGTTTATTTGGGTAGTGCAAAGAGGACTGGAAGTTTCACTTGTGTACACGAACACACACAGATACACCCATCCTGAGCGACATTGCTCCAGAGGTTGACATCGTCTGCATGGGGCCCCCAGATTTCAGTCAAGTGTGGATTTCAGGAGCCTGAGGAGGCCCAGGCTATGTAGAAGAAAACTGTGATGAGGATGGGTCTAGGAGCCTCCTGCCCCCGAGAGCCAGACCCCCACTTCCATCCCTGCTCATCTCTCTCCTCCTCCTTCCTTAGAGAGCAGTTCCCAGCTCACCCGAAGGGAATCACCGGGTGCTCCAGGTCCCCTTGAGGCCCTGTCCTCCCCATGCTGGTTCTAGCCCATCGGGATTATCCATGTTCTCATAAGAATCTGCATCTGGTTATGATGAGGAAAGAGTTAAACAGCTGGAAGTAGAGTGAGAGGGGGTTAGCTTCAGACAAGGGACAGCAGAAGCACCCACCTTCCTCATGACTGGGACCAGGCTGGGCCCGAAGGGAGCGGAGCTGGGGGGCAGCATACAGGATTCCTCTCATGTCTTCATAAGACTGGGACCCTGCATGGGCAGAGGATGGAGAGTTGGAGGCCTGCGAACCATGCTCAGGGCTTGTGGAAGGGAAATGCAGCCTGATATGGAGGGAGTCTGAGGGGCAGAGTAAGTTGGAAGGCTTGACCCAGGACTAGGAAGGAGTGATTAGGGTTAGCATCAGGTTCAGGGCCCTTATTAATTGTAGAGTTCAGTTGGGTATGGGTTAGATTATGGTCATGGTCAGAGAAAGGGTCACGAACAGATTGGAAGGAATCAAAGTCAGAGTCATAAGGAGGCTGTAGAGAGAGCTGGGGTCAAAGCTGAGGTCTGCTTTGCAGCTGGGGTGACATGGAAGTCAAAGTCCAGGCTGGAACTGGATTGGGATCAGGGCTGATGTTCACAGTTAGGGATGGGTAAATACTAGGGTCAGGATTAGGGTTGGGGTAGGTATTGAGGCTAGAGGTAAGAGTCAAATCTAAGGTCAGGATTGGGCTTGGGTTTGGGGTCACAATCCAGGTCAACATTCTGCCTGGAGTTAGAGCTGAGGCCAAGTCGACTCAATCTGGACAAAGCTGGCAGGTCCCAAGCATTTCTTACCAAGGGAGACTGCCTCTCGGCTGGGGTCCCAAGCCGTCCCATGGGGGCTCAGGAAGTCTGGAGAAGGAAGAGGGAAGTCACTATTCATCCAGATCACATACACCACCACCACCACTACCACCACTCACACTCCTCAGGAATATGACCATCCTCACATACACACACCTTTTGTGCTGGTGACTGGTTGGGCCAACTCTTCATCCTCATTCTCATAGGAATCAGATGCTGCAGAAAAAGAGAACTCCAGGGGCCACTCCTGCCCTGTAGGAGCTCCACAGCCCTGTGGGTCGTCCCAAGTCTCTGAGGCCCCCACAAAGACCCCAAATTACCGTTGGAGAAGGAGTCTTCATCAGGACCTAAGGCGCCATCATCAGGGTTCTCATAGCCGCTGCCATCTGGTGGAGAGGGAGGGGCGTTCGGGGAGGGTCCACAGACCTGGCTGAGAAGGTGGGCCGTCATGGAAGAGGACAGTCTTACCCTGGGAAAGCTGGTCCTGCCCAAGATTGGAGTCGTTCTCGTAGAACTCGGAGCCCCCCTCACTGTCCGGCTCCTCGTAGCCTTCCCCTTCTTCTTCCGGGCCTAAGGTTTGGGCATAGGGTTGGGACCCAAGTCACAGCCCCGCTTCTCCAGGCCCCACTACCCTAATCCTGGCACAGGCCGCTCCAACAATCCCCACTATGAGTAACGACCCCTCCCCCATCACCCGCTCCCGTCGGTCTCTGGGACCCCTCGGCTCCGGCCTCCTCGATGTCGCCGCGCGGGTTTCCGTAGGACGTGACGGCGGCCCCCAGGCTTGCAGCCCACCGTAGGGCGCGTCCTGGCGAGATGAGCGTTGTAGAGGGGCGAGTGAGATGAGAAGGGGGTGGGAGTCAGGGCTAAAGGTGCGCGCAGCTGAGCGGCGGGAGAGGATGCTTCAGGATCGCCGGGAAGACTCCGGGTCTCCAGGGGGCGGGATCTAAATCTAGGGGCGTGGCCGCAAGTTCTCAGGGGAGGTTCTGCTTTCGGAACAGGACTTCGGGTCCCGAGTCCTGGGGGAGGGCCTTGGTCCTAGGGGCGGGACTCAAATCTGGGCGGGACTCCGCAACCCAGAACCGGCTCTTTTCGGAAGGCGGAGCTGAGAGCTCGGGAAGACTTGGAAATCGCGGGGGGGCGGGGAGGTGGTACTGGAGGTATGGGAAAAATGGGTGGGACTCTAGCTCTGGGCCAGAGACCTGGCGGTGCCTCCTACCCGTGCCAGAGGTGGGCGAGGAAAGAGACAGCACGTTTCCGTACTGGTTGTGGGCCCCGCTTCCCGGGGGAGGAGTCACTTTGAAGAACCTGACGGAAAAAGGGGAATTTCTCTGTGAGGCAAGGCCTGAAGGAACTCGGGAGACACATACTCAAGACACAAGCCAGGCCCTCAGAGGTTAAAATGTGGTCACTTGTAATTAGCTCCTCTGTCCTGGGACAGCCTACAGAGGGGTCTGGGATCACTCCAAGGAGGTCTTCACAAAAGAGGTAGCTTTGGAGCTGGGTTTTGAAGGTTGGGCAGTATTTCAACCTCAGAGATGAAGAAAAGACCCTGAGCAGAGGAAACAGTAAGTGCAAAGCATAAAGTGGAAGCGCAGGAGTGGGACTGAGGGGGCACTCGAGTCATTACCTTCTGGTGGGATCCGTCATTCGCTTTCTCTTCCTCCTCAGGATCAGGGCTGGTGGGAGTTAAGGGGAGTGATCAGAGAAGGGGCTTCTTGGCCAGGTGAAGATTCTGGGGGTGCTGGGGAGGTAACTTGGGTCAATGGAGGAGATGCGAGTTCAACTTCCAAGGGGCTAAGATAGTTCAGAGGGCGTTTAGAGGAGGTGGGGGCAGGATTCTGAAGTCTGTGAGGGAGGTATGGGAGGAGAGAGAGACGTCAGATTGGTCAATGTGGGCTCTTCTGAGGGAGATGGAATAAGGTTTGGCAGACCAGATGGGGGACAAGACTCACCTCTTCGAACATAAAGAAAGCCTGCCAGGGAACCCATGCAGAAGATCAGATAAGTTAAAGTCGCAACAGGGACTCTCCAGCCACCAGTCTCCAGAAGCCAATGCCTTATTGCTAGGGGGAAGGAGCAATGAGATGAGGCTAGCATCTTACTTTCGGCCTCAAGACCTCAAATGGCCATAAATCTGGGAGTAGGGGATAAGACACAGATCCTCGAAGTCCCAAGCTACACCCCAGAGCCTGGCACAGGGCCTGGAACAGTATTTATTAAGCAAACCATGACCCATGAGTATAATCGGAGGAAATGTCAGGAATAAGAGGAGCATGACGATCAGCTTCCTGCTGCAGGTAAGGACAGCCATGGTCAAAGTGAAGGGCAGAATCAAGTTCACAGATTAGAGGTGGGAAGTAGCAAGGTGCTGAGATAAGTTTAAAGTGAAAGTTGAGGTTGAGTTTGAGAATTGTGCTTAGCGTAGCATGGTAGGATTGTATGAAAGGAGACAGAATGGGGAGAACATTGTGACAAATTTGATGGATGGGATGAGGGAAAGAAAGGATGCCCAGATTCCTGGCTTGGGCCCATGCAGGCAATAGAGTCCTTCACATACAAAGGGCCACCCAGAAGACTATGCTTGGGGAAGGTGTTGAGTTTGATTTTGTATATGTTGAGCCTGCAGTGTCCATGGAACATCAAATGGCAATTCCAGATGTGGGGGTATGGAACCTAGAATTCAGTTCACCAAGGCATGGTGGCCCAAGGAGCCAAGGGAGTAGAGGAGGTCAAATGATAAAAGGGCGTAGACAAGGACAAGAGAGTGTAGACAGGGATAGGAAGAGAGCTCAGGGCTCCAAAGGTAAGGAGCAGGAGAGAGAGGAAGACTCTACCAAAGCCGATGGGAAGGAGCAACCATTGGTAGGAGAAGATACAGAAAAGCCATGTCTGACAAGCAAGGAGGAAGGAAGTGGAGTCAGTGTTGAATGTAGTGGCTGGGATTCAGGCTGAGGTTGGTACCAGCGAGGGGGAGCCAAGGCTGACTGGCTTCTAGCTCTTTCCGGCAACGTCACACACATGTCCCACAATTGGGAGAAACCCTACCTGACTGGGCAGTGACCTTCAGCTGCATCTTAATGGTTGTATTGCCATGGTAACAATGATAGGTGCCAGCATCTTGAGCTTTGGCCCGGTGCAGCCACAGAACAGCCCCTCCTCTGAGTGTGCCCAGGACCCACATCTCTCTGACTGTGGCATCCTCACTCAGGTTTAGGCTCAGCAATGAGATGTTAGGCTTCTTGGGGTGAACGTGGATCCAGGAGATGGGGCCTCTGGACACGGAGGCAGAGGGCACCCCACAGAATAGACAGAGTGAGGAGCCAGAAGTCACAGTAAGGTCTGGTGCAGGGAGAGCCAAGGTTAGGAAAGTATAGGCCTAGGGGTCTCCTGCCCCGCAAACCCAATCACTATCCTGTCCCTGGACCCCCCACTTCCTGGCATTTCCCCAGCACCTTACCTCGGTGGAAGCTCTCGTTAGAACTGCCGTTAGGTAGGGCACATGCAGGGTTTGTCTCCCAGATCTCAGGGTGGTCTTTGGCCCGCACATACAGCTGAGAGCTTGTGGTGAGACCAGAAGAAAGCCTGGGCTTCTCTGAGGAACTATTCCCCAGGTCACAGCCTGGGCCATCTAGGTCTGAAGCCTTCCACCGGAACAGCTCCCCTGGGGAAAGACCCAGAACCAGATACAGAGACTTCCAGAAGAGGCAGAGTGGTACAGAGACCTCAGAAAGACGGACATAAATAGAAACAGTCTCAGAGAGAGACAAGGCTGAGAAAGATATGGAGCAATTCGGTGTTGAAGTCACAAAGCCACAGGAAATTTTAGGAGCTCCCTGCTCCCTGGCTCCCTGCTGCTCCTCAGCCCCTCCAGCCCCTCCCTCCAGATCCATTTTATTGGCCAGACCTCTTTCATCCGTGGTGGGCCTCCCTCTCCTCATCCAGCCCTCCCTGCCCTGCCCAGCGCTGGACCTCACCGCTGCCGTTCACACTGACTGTCCAGCCAGCCTGCCAGGCCTGCTCGGAAGGGGATCCCTGTTGACACAGGTAGAAGCCCCCCATCTGGTCAGAGATGTTGGAGATGAGCAGCAGGATGCCCAGGGGCCCCACCTGGATGCCCAGGCCTGGCAGCCCTGCACTCATCTGTAACAAGGATGCCGACTTGCACTCCCGATTCCAGGCCAGCTGATGGGGGGAACCATCTGAGGAACCCTTGAGGCATGGTAGCACAGCACTGCTTCCCTCTGCGGAGAGAGAGAGAAGGAGAGAGAGGAGCCTCTGGCTCCCTTCACTCCTCACACTAGGTTATAAACCCAGTGATCTCGGACTCCACCAATTGGGAGTGGATGAGCCCTCAGAATCCTTCCAACCTCTCCCTGAATTTTACAATTAAGAAAATGGAGGCCCAGAGAGGGTAAGTTACTTGGGCAAAGACGCCCAGCCAGAACCCAGGTTTCCAGCCCCGAATCCTTCTACTTGTGCCCCTTGGACATACCTTTAGCCTCCACCAGCTGTGGTTTCTGGAGCCTGACTCTCACAGGAGTAAGGAAGAGGAGGAAGAAGAGGCGGAGAGGAGGTGGCATGGTGGCCAGACTCCCCGAGGCACCAGCTTGGCCGCGCAGGGGATGCTGGGGCAGGCAGGGACTTGGTGGGCACTGAACCATGGGTGTCTGCGGGGGCGGGCGGGCAGTCCCCCCAGGGAGGAAGGGATGGTCATGTCTCAGGCCTCCTTCTCCATATACCCCTTCAGACCCACAAAACTCCCCTCCTTCCTGCTACACTGTTTTATTTTCATCCCAGCACTTACTGCCCCTGAAATGACCTTATTTGTGTCTGCTTGCTCACTTTCTGTTCCCCCCCACTAGAGTAAGCCCCTTGCAGCAGAGACTGTCTTGTTCACCACTGTAAGCATGGTGCCCTGGAACACTGCTTAGCACATTGTAGACACCCAATAAATATTGAATGAATGGATCTAGTTTTAGGGGCTCCCTCCTTCTTCCACTCCCTACTTCAACCTCAGGCTCTAACTCCATTTCCCTTCACATACACACCTCATTCATTCATTCGACCAACATTTCTGGGACCACCTTCCACCCATTACACACTCTGGGATCTCTCAGATCTGAGTTTGAATCCTCCACCTCTGCCACTTGACCCAGTTTCTTCATCTGTCTAAGCCTTAGTTTCTTTCTCTGAAAACTGAGGATAATGATAGTACTATCAAAATATTGCTTGTGAAGATTAAACAGGGCAACCTAAGTTCAGCACCCAGCACATAGTAGGCTCTTAATTAATGAGAAACAGTATCAACTAATGGCTAAGACCTCAAGCCAGACTGCCACTGTAACTCCTTTGCAGTGGTCCTGAGAAATGACTGACGATTAATCCCCCTTTCTCTCCCAGTTCTCCAGGAAGACCCTGTTTCCTTATGGCAGGAACCCATTTAGAAATGGGGAAATTGAGGCCCCAGGAAGAGCAGGGTGTTGCCTGAGATCACACATTGAGCAGGTAGTACAATGAGCACGAGAGCTCAGGAGTCTTGACTCTTAAATCTGTTCTGCTCCCTTCTCTCTCTCCCTCCCTCTCCCTCTTCCTCCTGCTCTTCTTCTTTTTTCTTTCTTCTTCTGTGCTCTCTCTCTCCCCCTGCCTCCCTCTCTCCCTCCCACTCCCTCTCCCCTTCCACTCTCTCCCTCCCTCCTCTCTGTGTATCTGTGTCTTTCACTGCTGCACTCAGGGAAAGGGTCCAGGGACCCAGGAGACCTGCTTTCTCAGTTGGCTGTTCCCAGGGCCATGTCACTGAGCTGTGGCTTCCTGTTTACCTCAGGCAAACCCCAAGGGACCACCCTCCAGCTGGCAGGGCCCCCACTTCCCTTTGGTCAGGTTTGGGTGGCTGGCAGGGGGAAGAGTGGGGCATTGGGGAATGGAGAGGATGAGGTGGCAGGACTTTTTTTTTTTTTTTGCCTTTCATTCAACAAAATCTCTAACCCCATCATTAGCTTCCCAGGCACCTCATGGGCAGAGTCTTGCTAGAGTGCATAGTTCCCTGCTTAGACTATTTCAGTAGCTTTTCGTCTACCTAAAAGAAACACTCCAAACCATGCCCTCTAAAGGCCTGGTTGAGGCTGCCCCACCTACACTTTCCACATCAACTCTCCACCACTCTGCCCCTCACTCCCTACCTTTGCACTGTTCCTTTTCATTATACTCAGGTCTCAGTTCAAGTGTTACTTCCTCAGAGAGGCCTTCCTTGACTCTGTTTATTTCCTTCCCAGCATTTGCCTCAATACTAAAGTATGCTTGTTAGTCTTCTCTGCTTCCTGCCCCAGAATGTTACCTCTGGGACAACGGGGATCTTTACTATCTTATTCACTGACATCTAGTAGATGCTTGATAAGTTTTGTTGTATAAAGGAAGGAAGTTAGGAAGAGTGAAAGAAAACTTTTTCTCTTCCCCCATGCACTGCTACCAAGGCTAGTCCATTTTCTAGCTTATACATTTCTAGAACCAACTTTTCCCTCATTTTGCACTCTTCCCTTCCCAACTAGAACCATTTAAACAGCTTCTTTTGTGGGCTCGCTGTCTTTTATCTTTCTTGCTCCCCAACTACACTCCACAAAAAGAGAGTGCCCTCCATATATTAGTCATGTGCTTCTGTTGTTCCACAACCTTCAATGGTTCCCAGCGCCTCAGGATAAAACCCAAGCCTGGTACTTGACTGGAGCCTTATTTATATTCATCATTTCACCCCCTTTCCAAGAAATCCTGCCACATATACAGGGAGTCCTGAGGACAAGAAGCTACCCAGGGCAGTAAGCTACTGGGGATTTATAAGCCAGGCATTGACCTGGCCAGATTTGCTCTTTCTAAAACTCCTCCTTGTTGTAGTGTGGAAGGGGAATTGGAGGGAAGCCAGAGAGATCAGTAAGGAAAGTGTTCATTATTCATTCACCAAATGTTTATTTACTATGTTTATTTTTCAGGGACTGTGCTAGGTGCTGGGGAACAAGAAAGACATGGAGCTTTGATTCAAGTTTTGGGACCACAGAAGGGTAAAGGAGGACAGGTAATAAACAAGCTAACCAATAAACAATTTCGGTGATAAGTCTCTGATGTAATCTAATGGTGGAGTATGACTGGGGATGGTTAGTTTCGACAGGTTGGTCAGGGAAGACCTCTGAGCTGAGACCCAAGGTCAAGCTGAGAAAAACTTGGTGTGTTCAAGGTCATACTTAGTTTTGTTAGAAACTGTCATACTCTTTTCCAGAGTGATTATACCATTTTACATTCCCATCAGGAATATATGAGAAAACTATATGCTCACTAGCACTTAGCGTTATTACCCTTTGTTTTAGCCATCCTGGTAGGTGTGCAGTGATATCTCCCTGTGGTTCTAATTTGCATTTCCCTAATGGCTGATGATGTTGAACATCTTTTCAAGTGCACATTTGCTATCTGTGACATTAGTGACATGTCCATTCTTGTCTTTTTTTGCCCTTTTCAAATTGAACTAGATTTTAAGCAGGGATGACACGATCTAGTTTTACAAAGATTACGCTAGTTGCTTTGAAAATTAACTCGAGGCCAAAAAGCCACACCGGGGGAACAGTTAGGAGGCAGTGTGGAAGTTCAGGAGAGAGATGATAGGGACAAGGGCTGTTTTTTAGCGCTGGATATGAAAAAAGCAAGCATTCTGGACCGCTCTACTCCTTAGGAGTGGAGTTTACAGGACTTCCAGGCTCTACAGAGGGAGAAAAGGGTTTGGGAGAAAGGGAATCAGACTATGGACTTCAATTTGAGTTGCTGGACATCGTCCAATGGAAGATGTCAGGTCAGGCTGGCTGTTGGAGGGAGAGGTCACAGATAATTACAGCCTGACCTAGGACAGTGGCGGTGGGGAGGGAGAGAAGAGAGGAGGGATTTAAGAGGCATTGGGAGGGGGAAGGGTGTTAGCAGGAAGCGGTGACTGGATGAATATCAAAGTGGGGGTGGGGACGTGGAAGTTCCTGACTACGCGGGGACTCGAGCGCCCAGAATAGTGGAGCTGACCCAGCCCTGCCCCAAGGGACGATCCACGAGGGCGGAGGTACAGGGAGGCCCGGCCACAACTTGCTGTACTGCGAGCCAGGCTCCAGCGGAAGGGCGGCCACGGGCCGAGCTAAGGGCCGGCTCCGGAGCTCGCGAGAGACTGCAAGAGCTTCGCTGGAGGAGGTGTAATTTGAACAGAGTTTCTAAGGTCACGAGCAGACGCCAGCAGGCCTTTGATACAAAAGAACTTTGGAGTTTGAAGGACTAGTATCCTTCTCGAACGGCAACAGCCCGAAGAGGGCGGAGAGGGGCGGGACCTGGGGCCGCAGCCGGGTGTCGACTCGGAAGCCTTCGGCCGAGTCTCGGCAATCCCCTACCCTTGACTCGGGCCTCGGCGTCGAGCCAGGCTGATCCGGAAACAGCCGAGCGGATCCGGAAACAGCCGAGAGGACCCGGAAGCGGCGAGCGCCGTCACCAGGGAGTGCGGGACCCCGCGGTTTGCGCGGAGGCGATGGCGGCAGCTGCGCCGGCGGCCGCAGGCGAGGATGGCCGGCGACTGCGACCGGGGTCTGGTACGTGAGGCACGTCCGTGCACGCGAGGGGCTGCGAAGCCGGAGGCGGGGCCGAGCTCGGCAGCGGGCGGATGGGGGTGGTGAGGAGAGCCTGGAGAAAGGGGCGGGGCCACGCCGCCGGCAAAGAAGGGGCGGGGCATGGAGTCACGGGCGGAGGGGTAGGGCCAGCAGCAGGTGAGAGGTGGGGCCCAAGGAAGAAGGGGGCGGGGACATTAGAAGGAGGTCGTGTCAAAGGGGTTGGGTTAACTGAGGGACTGGGAAGAGGCGGGCCTACAGGCAGCACGAGGAGAGCTAGGTGAGAAGGAGGCGGGGAAGGGGCGGGGCCAGGTGAGCGGGGCGGGGCGGGGCTAGCTAGGGAAAGGGGTGAGGATCTACAGTACTGCTTGGCTGCGGTACTACTAGGTCGCGGGACATTCGGATTTGGTGGCTTGGGTTATTGGGGATCCTGGAGTGATGGGAAGAGAGGCTGATCCCTGTCCCCCACAGTGCTGGATCTTCAGCCCCAGGAAGGGGCAAAGGTTGAAGCTGAGTCAGGGGAGCTCGGCCGACTTCGGGCTGAGCTGGCAGGCGCCCTGGCAGAAATGGAGACCATGAAGGCTGTGGCCGAGGTGAGCGAAAGCACGAAGGCTGAGGCTGTGGCTGCAGTGAGGCGGCAATGCCAAGAGGAGGTGGCCTCGCTGCAGGCCATCCTGAAAGGTGAGGCAGGGTCTCTTCCCAGACTCTCCATCAGCCCCATAAGGGAGGAACGCGTGACCAGAAAGGGGTCAGGAGGACAGACAAGATATGGAGTAGGTTAGCAGGGCTGCCTGGACAGGGCAGGCCTATGGGCTCAGAGGAAGGGGAGCCCCTTTTTAATTTGCACAGAGGCACTGTCTGTGCCAGCAGCAGCTCTGTCTGTTCCAGCTAAGTTTAGCTCTGAGCTTCTCTACCTGTTACCTTGCCCCTCACTGATCACTGTCCACCTCTGAAGATGCAACTTCTCAGTTCCCTGAACCACCCTTATTCAAGCTTCTGAGCTTCAGACTAAGCCCTAGGCCCTGCCTCTCTGTGTCTCTAATCCTCTGGTTTCCTTCCTTCCCCAGGGACCACTACATCACATCCGTACCCAGAACCCCTCCCCCATACACTGACTTCTTTCCCTCCCTCACAACCTCTATATGTATTTGGGATGCAGCACCACCCCTTGCCTCAGATCCCCCAACTTCTTTTCCTAGTTTCCCCTTGTCCTCTAGTCAGAGGCCAGAGTCTCTGAAATAGCTTCCAGCCCTGTCTCACCCTTCTGCTTCCACTGCCACCGCTGTAGTGAAGCTCTTGACAACTCTCTGGAATGTTGCCCTAGCCTTCTCATAGGTCTCCCTCTATAGTATGGCCTTGGCATTGGCTTCCAGAGTAAGCTTTCTGAAATTCTCATTCCACCATATCATTTCCCTTTCAAACAACTGCTCCTGGCACTAGACTTCTCTGGGGCCGTATTTCCTATATTTCAGGTATCCACACATCACCTGTGCAATGTGGTTGTCTCCTCATATAACTTACCCTGTTATTTACTAAATAATTTTCTTTAAATAGATCCACTTTTTAAAAACTTATATACTTTTATTTTAGAGGAAATTTTCTGTACCTATAAGAGAAACTATCCTGAATCATCATCATAGCAATAATGATAATAATAATGGCTAACATTTGTTGAGTACTTACTATATGTCAGGCACTGAGCTAAATGTTTTATGAGTGTTTAATCTTCATAACAATCTTTGTAAGGTAGGAACTATTATCCATCTTCATTTTACAGAGGAAGCTCTGAGGCCCAGAGAGGTTAGATAACTTGCCCAAGGTCATACAACTAGAAAGCAGCATAAGATTTGAACCCAGGCATTCTGGTAGCAGAACCTTTATTTCCTTTTTTTTTTTTTTAAACAGGCTATATTACAAATTTAACTTAGTTCACACCATACAATAAAAAGTACATTATCAACACAAGCTTTCATAGGTCCTAAACTAAAGGACTTTTTTTTTTTACTGCAGAATCCTTAAATTATACACGATGATGATGAAAAAGATTAACAGTTACTTGGCTAA